GGGGGAGGAGGTTCCACTTTATTTAGAGCGCCAGTGGTTTAGTTGTTGGGCGATACAAACCAAAGCAGGAAATTATAAATATTGCATGCAACTCTTCTGGAAACTTGACAGAAATAGGCTGCAATATATCAACACAAGATATGCCACAGTTCATGGGACCCAAACGGGGCTGTAAAGGCAACGATCCCTTAATTAACCAGAGCAATGACATAGTGACCAGCATCAGGTGTCCACAGCGCTGTAAATTTTATGCAAATGTTATGCTTAACAAGGGGGTCGAAATAGGGATGACAGTGTTGAGGGCATGGAAGGGAATGTCTGTCCTGCAGGAGATGCACAGCACGGTGATGGAGTAGGAGCTGCACACCAGGAGCAGATGGGAGGCATTGAAATCATAGGATCATTGACTCAGCAAGGTTAGAGAAGATCTCCAAGATCCCCAGGCTGGAATTCCCACCGGGAAAAAGTCTTTAGTGGATGCACTGTTGCTGCATCTCTCCACGGTCAAAACATCTGCGAGGATGAAGAGGATGAAAGGGGAAGAGGTGGGCAACACTCTGCGTTTCGCTGAGGAGCTTTGCATGGAAAATGCATGCAGGGGAAAAGCTGAGCTCTTTGCAGCACACAGCTCAGCCCTGATCGCTTCCAGCCTGCAATTAAGGTGATTTGAATTATGGGATGATGACGGTGATGATGATGATTGTGCCTGAATCTATAGACAGTGCAGTCTCCAGGTTTGGACACAAAGGGCAGGAGGCGTCTCACCCAGCTCTGGGTGCTCTCCATAGGATCACAGAATCACAGAATGGCTTTGGTTGGAGGAGAACTCAAGGATGATGAAGCTCCAACCCCCCCAGAACAGGCAGGGCCACCAACCTCCACATTTCATAGCAGCCCAGGCTGCCCAGGGCCCCATCCAACCTGGCCTTGAACACCTCTCCACGCAAAGCCTGAATCTTTTAGGGTCCCTTTCTGGTCCATGGGGAAAAAGGGATGTGCTGGGTCACCACTCCTCAGCCCCATTCATTGAATCACAGGTGACCCCAAGTTGGAAGGGACCCATGAGAACCTCCTTGTCCAGTGGGAGATGAACTGTGCTATGGAAATGCCCATTTTTCTCAGGGAAAAACCAACGTTTCGAGGACTTTGCTATAAAACAGGAAAGCACCGGGCTCTCCTTTGCTGGGATATTGCCAGCTTTGCTGCCAAAAGCCATCCTCCTCTCTGCTCTCCACGCCTTTGTTACCTCTGGTCGTCTCCTTGCAGCTCATTGCATTCCTCAGCGCAGCAGTGCTGGGTTCCTGGTGCTGTTGCTGAAATTCAGACGAAAAGATCAAATTCCTCCCAGCTTCCAGGTTGTTTCTTGGGACGTAAACACAAAGCAGTTTTCAAGCCTTTGTTTTTGGCTGATCTAGGTCAGCACGGCGTCTCATACTGCAGCAAGAAATGTTTTAGAGATTGAAGAAGTTCAAAAAGAAGAAACCCAA